CAATGCGGTTCGGGACGCGCCCTGCAGGCTTTGAACTCCTGGGCCCAACCCTGCCGGCCTCTGAGCCCCGCACTCACAGTAGCCCCAGCCCTGAGCTCCTGAGACCGCGGCAAGCAGGATACAGAACAGCCGGAGACTCATCCTGCGGGGTTGCCAGGTCTCCGCGGCCGCCTCCCGGTGCCCCGCTGGGGCTAGGGCTCCAGTTCCAGCTCCGGCTCCCAGCTCTCCTGGGGTTCGCAGCGGGTCACAGTCTCTCCTCTTCACCCACCCTCTCTCTTTCCTTCTCCTCCGACCCTTCTCTCCCCCCGCCCCCCCTCCCTCAGTCGCTCCTGGTTCTCCGCTGTTCTCTCCGCTCTCCTTTCCACCCTCTGTCCTCTCACCTCCCCCCTCCCCAGCCTCCCTTTCCTAGCGGTGCGCTTTCCCGGACCCCGCGCAAGCGCGCGCCTCAGCATTGCTTCGAAAGGGCGGGGGTAGAGAGCCTCCAGCCACCGGGAAATACCCTGAATAACCGAGGCTGGCAAGGACTGTGGTCGCAGGGGAGGGGGGGGGAAGGGAGGGCGTGGAGAATCCGAGGCGTGGCGGGGGGGGGGCGAGTTGCCTGTGGATGGGGAGAAGAATAAGTAAAACATTCTAACATTTTCCAAAGGCAAATTACGAGTATGTTCCAAGCACCCTTGGTAGGCATCCTCATAACCCTGTGAATTCAGCATTTTTACCTTTTACTCCACTTTGCAGATGAAAATCCCGAGGCTCAGAGAAGTAAAAAACAAAACAAAACAAAAACAGAAAAACTTACGATCACACAGGTAGCTAGCAAAGAAGGATATTCCAAAAAGCCATTCTTTTTGTACTGAAATAGATTGTTTTTAGGGGGTGGAATGGTAAAGTTAGGTAGAGAGGGCCCGCAGACCCTAATACCCACCGCCCTCTTGGGCCCTCTCCCCGCCCCTTCCTTCCTGTCCCACTAGTTTAACTTCTGTCCCCAGTGGCTACACCTCAGAAACCTGTGTGGCCAGAGATGGAGACTGAGCCCGCAGAACAGGTGGGCCTGGGGCCAGGGAGGGAAGGATTGCAGACAGGGAGGGAAAGGGACAGGGCGGGGTCCCACACCGGGCAACAGGCCTCTGCAGCGTTATGATCTATCCAGGACGCCTGGAGCCATTTGGGGTCAGGAGCCTCCAGAAAAATGGGGCTGGTGAATGTGAGGGTGGGGTTGGGGGATGGGGCTGGAGCTGAAGGGAAGGGTGAGCACAAAGTAGAGGTCTCAGGTGCTAAAAAAAAAAACCTGAGCCCCAACTCTTGAGACCCGCTCATCAGGAGCAGTACAGTGTACCTGTACTGGAGGTAGACGTGGCAGGTGGGGAGGGGACCAGGCCACCAGGCTGAGGCAAAGCCTGCACGTGTACGTTCTTCCAGGAGAGGGCGCTGCAAGCAGAACGGAAGCTCCAAGACTTATTAACAATACAAACCCTTGGCCTATGAAAAGCACAGATGCTTCACATCCATTATCTTCCTATTTCAAACAATCCTTATTTCGAACAGCCCTGCCGGGTGGGCTGGTCAGGATTTCTAACTTCTACATTACGTATCGCGCAACTGAGATCCAGAAAGGGCAAGTGGCTTCCTCAAGGTCACCCAGAAAGCCGGATGCAGAGGCAGAAGGGGTGCAAGGGAAGCCAAGGCCTGTTGCGGGTGTGCTAGGGAGTTTGGAAACATTTGTACCTTCTCGGCCCTTAGAAGGGGTGGTGGGAGGGGCAAGTGAGTGGGGAGAGAAGGATTCATAAAGTCTCTCCTCTCATTTTGCCCTCCCCAGGTCTCCCCGGGCCCCTATTCCGGGTACAGTGAAGACACATACTCGCCTGGGCCATTTCCAGAGGTTTGCCACAAGGCGGATGTCCAGGCCTTCAGTCGAGCTTTCCAATCCAGTGTCTCCCTGACGGTGGCTGCCCTGGGTCTGGCGGGCAATGGCCTGGTCCTAGCCACCCACCTGGCAGCCCGACGTGCTACCCGCTCGCCCACCTCCGCCCACCTGTTCCAGCTGGCCCTGGCCGACCTTCTGCTGGTCCTGACCCTTCCCTTTGCTGCAGCCGGGGTTCTGCAGGGCTGGAGTCTGGGAAGTGTCACCTGCCGTGCCATCTCCGGCCTCCACTCGGCCTCCTTCCACGCAGGCTTCCTCTTTCTGGCCTGTATTAGCGCTGACCGCTATGTGGCCATTACGCGAGCCCTCCCAGCTGGACCTAGGCCCTCCGGGCCAGGCCGAGCACACCTGGTCTCAGCCATCGTGTGGCTGCTGTCGCTGCTCCTGGCATCGCCTGCTCTCTTTTTCAGCCAGGACGGGCAGCGGGAAGGCCAACGGCGCTGCCGTCTCATCTTCCCGGAAGGCCTCACTCAGACGGTGAAAGGGGCGAGTGCGGTGGCCCAGGTGGTCGTAGGCTTCGCGCTGCCGCTGGGGGTCATGGCGGCCTGCTATGCGCTCCTGGGCCGCACGCTGCTGGCCGCCAGGGGGCCAGAGCGGCGGCGCGCGCTGCTCGTCGTGGTGGCCCTGGTGGTGGCCTTCGTGGTGCTGCAGCTTCCTTACAGTCTCGCCCTGCTATTGGATACAGTGGACCTACTGGCCGCGCGGGAGCGGAGTTGCCCCGCCAGTAAGCGCAAGGATCTGGCACTGCTGGTGACCGGGGGCTTGGCTCTCGCCCGCTGCGGCCTCAACCCCGTGCTCTACGCTTTTCTGGGCCTGCGCTTCCGCCAGGACCTGCGGAGGCTGCTCCGCGTTGGGAGCTGCAGTTCAGTGCCTCATCCCCGCGGCTGCTGGCCCCGTCGGCCCCGCCTTTCTTCCTGCTCGGCTCCCACTGAGACCCACAGTGTTTCCTTGTGGGACAACTAAGGCCACGAAGCAAGAGGGTGCAAGCCGAGGAAATGAATCTGGGAAGGCAGTGGGAAGGGGGAGTAGGTGGAGGTACGCTGAAAAAGAGGTAGAGACCTACACGAATTGCTTATGTACTTTGCCACATTAAATTGATAACATGGAAATGAGATACAGCCCAACAACTGTTACTATTTTTGAGCCACTGACTTGGAAGTGATTTGTAGCCGGGCAGAGCCATGGGTTTCCCCTCCACCCCGCCCCCACACCTCCACCTCCAGAGCGCTGGGCTCTGAGTGGAAGGTGATGAGAGCCTGAGTGGGGGTGGGGGGCTGCCGAGCCTGCTAAAGCCCCAGGCACTGGACACCCCCGCCCCCCCTTCACTGCTCTCTGCCGACAGGGGAGAGGTGGGAAAGCTGGCAAGAGAGGAGGGGCGGGGGTTCCTCTTGAAATAGCTAAGGAAGAGCTTTCTAACAACCGGAGTGCTATCCAGTAATGGCTGCCTTAGTAAGTACCGCGTTCGTCGCCAATGGAATGTTCAGGCTGAGTCTGTCGGGACTGTGTGTGCCTGTGTGCGGTGCGGGGGACCGGGACGAGGCAGGTGATTCCCGTTTTGAGTGGGCTTTTGGATTAGATTACCATTTTATAGTCTCTGCTAAGGTTCTGTGGTGGAAAAGAAAAAATAAATAAAAAGTTGAGTCGGAGTTTTTTCACCTTGGAGAGACACCAAGGAGAGATTTCCAATGTGCAAATTTCCAAAGAGTCATTATCATGAGCGTGGTGGGGGTGGAGGTGACTGCTGCTCTCAGTCTTCCCCGGGAAGGGGTCCAAGGAAACGCACCGAGCCTGCCGGAAAGAGAGAGGTTAGACTTTGGGAAGAACTTCCCTGCAACAAGGGCCTGGGATCCAGACAGGGAAGCGAGTGTATCGCTGTGGTGTCTCCACGCCCAGGAAACCGTGGTGCAGGCCACTCTCATCTGGGGCCTGGGCCAGGGCAGGATGGTCTGTAGAGAGGGTCGCATTGACTCCTGGTCTTTGTTTCACACAATCACGACAGGCAGGATGGTGTCCACGTGCGACAACTCTCGCAGTTTAACATCCGGTCAGCAAAGCTGTCCGGCCACTCCAGCCAGCAGTCTGGGGACCTGGGGCAAGAAGGGCGTGGCGTGGCGGGGAGGTCTCCAGGGAGGCGCTGGCTTGATGTCCCCGCCCTGTCCTGCCCAGCTCAGCTCGGACGAGCCTTTCGTCCCAGAGCCTCTGGCGGCTGAGATGGAAACGCGGCATCCAGCGACCGTGAACTTCGGAATCGGAATGCACGCAGATGGCACCGATCCTCAAAGTGCCCCACGCACGGACCACTGGGGGTCAACCTGGAACCCTCCACCGACCGACCGAGGAAATCGTCGCTGAGTCAGCAACGCACGCGCGCGCCCGCTGTGGCCCGGGTCCCCCGCCCTGTCTCCGGCCCCGCCCCGGGTTAACCCCTTTCTGCACAGAACCGCAGGAGGTCCCCCCTGAGAGGCCTGCACTCTATCCGAGGACAGCAGAATTGCCTGGAACCCCAAGTCACTCTCCCTACTGGAGTTTAGTGAGCTGTACGCTCTAAATTAGGTTTCTTCACTTCGAAAAGGAGGTGACTCATGCCGAGGACTTGGACTTCATCCCCGGCGGAGAGCCACCTCCGGGGCTGTGCCTGGCGCAGGTAGTCTCAGGGGCGCTGGGACCTTACGCAGGGGTTCAGAGGACAGCAATCGGGGCCTGCCTCTATGCCCTCTGCTCTTCGTCCTCCAAAGCCTCTTTTTTCAAAAGGGTTTTTAATCTGTAGGTTGGTGCGCCAAGAGTTAAAACCAGAGCTTGAAGGCGGGCTTCCGTGACGTCATTAGCACTCCGCGTCCGACCTCAGAGACGGGGGCGTGACTAACAGCGCACCGCTCCCTCCCTCCCCATTCCCTGGCTCCTCCTCGCTGTCACCAAGCCAGAGGCACATGACGCCACCCGCCGCCGTTCCAGTAGCTTGATTGGTGGCCGCGCCCGGCGCCAGGCACAGGGATTGGGCAGAGGAGGCTGTGACGAAAATTGGACCCTGCCCAAAAGAAGGGAGGGGAGAGAGAAGGGAGGGGCCAGAGGGGAGGGGATTTGGGAGGCGGGGTCCCGGCGCGGTGCTCGCGCCCCTTGCGCGCCAGTCCCGGGGCTGCAGGGAGCGCAGAGCGCGCTCTGGGCCCGGGCCCCGGCCACCGGACGTTCTACCGGACACGACCCTCCCTGAAGCTTGGACAGCTGCCCACCTTGGACACTGCCCCACACAGGGCTGGACACTACAACGGACACTACTTCCCAGCTCCGGACATTGCTCCCTCCTCCCCCCTGGGCCCTGGACGATTTTCCCCCTCCCCCTTCGGGGGCCCAGACACTGAGCCCCCGCAGGCTCTAGCGACCAACCCCTGCACCCCGGCTGCAGACACTGCCTCCTCCCAGTCCCCTTCTCCCTTCCCCTCCACCCGCCCCGTATTTCCCCCGACTGAGTAGGAGCCTCGCCAGCTTCTCCGACCCCCTGCAGCTTGGCCCCGGCTGCCCAAGCCCCCATCCCCCGGCTGCTCGTCCGGATGCCTCTCCCCGGGGGATTGTGGTGGCTCCTCTGCTGCCGTCGAGGCTTTACTCTTCTGCACCGGGACTACGGGGACGGCGAACTTAGCGGGGACGGGGACGAGGACGAGGACGAGGAGACCTTTGAGCTACGGACCCCGAGTCCAGCGGGCGGCGGGAGGGTAAGTCCCCGGGGTTTGGAGCCTTGTCTCAGTCCCTCTCACCACCACCGACCGTCACGCCTGATCCCGCTCCAGACTCCAGCCAAACGCCGAGCTCTTGGCAAGCTGGGGACCTGGGAGAGGTTTTTGCCTGGGGCCAGAAGCCCCCGGGAGCTCAAGAAGCAGCCCTACTTGGATGTGCCTGGGGGCCTCGCGCCGCACGCTGGGCGCTGTCCACCTGCTGGGGGCCCGGAGGCAGGGAGGCGTCACGCGTGGCCCAACCTGGCCCTGCCTCACCCTTCCCCGCCGGGCCCGCGTCCCATCCCATCTCCTTCCGCCTCCGCCAGAGCCGAGGAATGTGGTGAGGCCGGCTGGGCGGCTCGGACGCCTGGGTCCGCTCCATTCCCAGGTCGTGAGCGCTGAGCGCTGGGGCCAGATGCGGGAGTTCCCGCCTCAGGGACCTGGGCAAGGGGGAGAAGGCATCCTCACATTGGGGTCCGTGGCGGGGACCCCATGGAGAGGGCTTTGGGAGCCACAACTCTTGGAGGACTCCTCGTCGTTACCCTCAGGACAGAGCTCTCGGCCCTTCCTGGTGAGCCTCCTGGGAAATCCCGGAGGGGATGATGCGGGATCATACTGTCTCCCCGGTTTTGTCGAATCTCCTCCTGGAGAAACTGAGGCACCATTGGTGTGGGAGACCTCCATCCCCCGAGGTCCCCTCTCTGATTCTGGGGCAGATAGGGCAGCCAGATTCCCCAGGTTTGTGACCTGGGTCAGGCTCCCATCCCCCGCTCAGGGGTCCCCAGCAGGCCTGGTGGCTCGTTGCCCGGGTAGGGCGGGCTGTGCCGCCGGGGCCGGCGCCAGCACCTGGCGGAGGCGGAGGGCGGATAAATATAGAGGGGGGGGGGCAGGGAGGGAAGCAGGGGACTGCGATTAGGGGAGTTGGTCTAAGAGTGGTCAGCACCTGCCCTCCGCGGCGGCGTGGCCAGGAACCCCTTTCAGATCCTCTAGAAAACAGGTGGGTCTTCGCCTCCGGAATGCACAGGACGCAGGCGTCCTCGGGCTTCCAGGCTGCGCAGGGTCAGCTCTGTGAACCGCGCCACTGCCTCCCTCGTGCTCCACCTCCACCCCCCTCCCGGGAGCTTGGGGACAGGTGTCCCTGGCCCCCCTTCCCCCACCTCCCCCTGCTGGCTTCAGCAGTCTGCCCCAAATGGGACGATGGCACAGTTCCTGCCTGACCTGGCTCCTGGACGGGTCTGCGGCCTTTCTCAGACCCCAGTGCACAGCTGAAGTTCCAGGGCAAAGGGGGAGGGGCAAACCCCCCTTCGGCATCTCCCCGTGAGAGCGTGTGCCATTCCTCTGCCGGGCCAGCCCTTCCGGAGCCCCAGCAAAGGCGCAGGGTCTCTGTTGACAATGAGACGCAGGGGTGTCTGTGGGGGGCGAAGCTCTTGGAGAAAGCCTGTACCAAAGGGATCCCTCTCCCTTTCATTCATCTCTGTGCCCACCTTCTGCCTGCCTATCAGGCAAAGAAGGGAAAATAAAGGGGGGGGGCTACTTTCAACCTGCCAGACTCGAAGGGACTTCATCCACCTCTCCCTTTTCGAAGATCAGGATGCTAAGGCCCAAAGACTGAAGAGGACTTACAAAGTTCCTCTTCTGCTTCCCTGGGGAGGTAGTGCTGGAGCTGGTACTAGAGCCCGGGCCTCCTGACTCCTTGCCCAGGGCTCCTTCCACCCTCCTGAACCCCTTACTGCATCTTCGAAGGGTGATGAAAGGTAACAGACCAGGCTTCTTAGCTCTGGCATTTCCGTAGAGACTGATGGGAGGGGCCAGCCCAGGGTTTCAGCTTACTCCGTCACCTTCACCACCCCACTACTGATTCCTCAATCCCCTGAGCAGCGCTGACCTGAGGGCAGAGGCCGCGGGCATCCCTGAGGAGGGCTCTCTGACCCTGAACCTGTGTCCCCAGGGCCCGCTGGATGTGACGCTGACTCAGCCTGTGAGGGGTGGGCCTATCTCAGACAGGTGAGCTCCTCCTCTGCGTCCCATGGTCTGGAGACCCCAGCCTGTTCCAGGACCCCCCATCCTTGCCGCCTTCCCTCTTGCGATTGTGCAATAAGGGAGAGTCCTTACTGCCGGACGCTGTGGTTTGGCTAGGGTCCCGAGGGGGCGGTCCGGCTGGGGGGGCCCCCGAGGAAGAGGGGGGGGTCCGGGCTATTTTTGGTGCGAGGTCAGACCGGCCCAGCGGTTCCCACAGCCTGGGGGAAGGGTGCCTAGCCTAGGAGCAGGCACCCCTCGCAGTCTGGGGAACCCCTGTTGAGGAGCCCCCTGGAGGCGGGGTGCAGGACCCTCGGTCTCGCCCAACGCTTCCTCCCCTCTGGCCCAGGCTGCAGAGCTGGGAGGAGACCCGGAGCCTCATCCCGGAGAAAGGGCTGCTGGAGGAGGACTCAGATGTCGTCGTGAAAGGTGAGGACCCATCTTACGCACTTTGGATGTCCCCCCAGTCCCAAGCCTTCAGGGAATAATGTCTTTGCCTGGTGATCCTTTCTCGCCAGGTTGGCTGTACCGTGAGACCCGCGATCGAGGGGCACGGCCCTGGTTGCCCCCCCGCCGGGCCTGGTTCGTGCTCAGCCGGGACTCCCTGGACCAGTTCAGCAGCAGCGGGAAGGGGGCGCGGCGCCTGGGGAGCCTGGTTCTCACCAGCTTGTGCTCTGTGACCGGCCCGGAGCGCAGGCCCAAGGAGACCGGTGAGACCTTGTGGGGACTCCCTTACCTCCTTGGGCAGTAGCCCCAGCCGGCTCTGATTGCCCTGTCGGCCTTTCTTCCCGCCAGGTCTGTGGTCGGTAACCGTGTCTGGCCGGAAGCACAGTGTGAGGCTCTGCTCCCCGCGCCAGGCCGAAGCAGAGCGCTGGGGGGTGGCCCTGCGCAAAGTGATCGCCTCCAAGGCGCCGCTGGAGACCCCCACCCAGCTGCTGCTCAGGGACATTCAGGTACTGGAGAGGGGACTCCGTGGAGGAAGAGGAGGGCTGTGGGCCCCGCAGCTTTCTGCATTCGTGGGGGGCCCCCTTCTCCATCACCCTGACTCTTGCCCTGGCCTCCAGGAGAGTTGCGGGGACCCGGAGGCCGTGGCCCTCATTTACCGACGAAACCCAATTCTGAGGCACACCAGTGGAGCCTTGTACGCCCCGCTCCTGCCCCTGCCGTATGGCGTCAGCGCCCCAGGTGAGTGACTGGAGCCTTTGATTGGGGGACCTGAATGCCTTACCCCGAGAGACCTAGCAGTCCTCGGGGCACCTACCCAGCCCCTCACTTTTTAAAGGGTGAATCTGAAACCAGAAGCTGACCAGACTGCTACCAGGGGTGGTGGGATAAAGAACCAACACACACACACACACACACACAGTTCCCATGACCTTCTTTTCTGACTACTGTGTCCTCCATGAGTTTTTACCCTGTCTTCTATTTTTTCATTATACTCTTAAGACCATGCCGTACTAACTTTATGAGTGGTGGGAAAGCCACCGTGGTTGGGATCACGTGCTGGCCTCATCCAGCTGTATTTCTTCCCAAGTGGGTCTGGGGACTGGCCCAGTCCTCCAGCTAAAGGATTCAGGGGGACTGGCAGAAGAACCCAGGTTTTCTGACTCCAAGTCCAGCCTGTGTTCTGACCTGTAGTGACGGCTCTCTGTCCCCAGTTACAGAGTCTGGGTTTGAACTTCTGTCCTTCAGTCTTGTCCCTCTACCTTAGTGACTAGAAGTGCAGCTTTAGCAGATGGGCGGGGTGGGGTGGGGGGGGTCCTGGGAGGCAGGGGTTGAGATTTTGGCCTTGTGGGGTCCACTGCTTTCCCTTCACTCTTCCTGTCGTTCGTACTCTCCCCTCCTGGCCTCCCCCTGTCCCTTATACTCCCTCTGACCTCCCCTGGTTCGTGCCTTCCTCCCAGGGCCCAGCTCCGTGTCCCCTCTCCAAACCGTCCCTCCGCCCCCACCCTCCCGCAGGTCCTGGCTACGCACCCTTGCGAGAGGAGGCGGTACGGCTGTTCCTGGCGCTACAGGCCCTGGAGGGGGCGCGGCGCCCCGGGCCCCTGATGCAGGGTGTACTTCAGACCTGCCGGGACCTGCCTGCACTTCGTGACGAACTCTTCCTGCAGCTGGCTAAGCAGACCTCGGGCCCCGCGGGGCCCCCCGGGTTCCCCGATACCCAAGACCCCGCAGCCCTCCGGTACTGGCAGCTCCTCACCTGCATGAGCTGCACCTTCCGGCCTGGGGGAGCTGTACGAGGTCACCTCCTGGGACATCTGGAGAGGTGAGAGGGCTGGGGCGGGGCAAGGCCTTGGCACACCACCGAGGGAGCTATGGGGCTGGGAGAGAATGACGGGCCTTTGGAAAGGGGTTGGCAAATGGAGAACTGAGACCCGGAGAAGGAGAGGGACTTGCCCAAGGTCAGGGCCCCTGCTAATATGTACAACGCCATTGTAGGAATTACAGGATCATGTCTCACTTGCCCGCGGAGGAGTTGTAAAAAGGCGCCCCCTTGGAGCAGAGGAATAATCAAAAGGGTGCTTCTCCCCGAGGCCGATGCAGTCCAGCATCAGGGCTTTTAGGTTGGAAAGCGGCAGGCGGCTAGATTTTGGATTTCAGCTCGAAGGAGGAGGACCTTGGAGACTTTGGGGATTAGGAGGGGCAGATCGGAGAGAGCTGCCAGGAGCGTTAGGAAGTAATTCACCTCCGTGCAGAGCTCCAGAGGTCGATTCGGAAGAGCGTGTCTCTGGCGTAAAGTTGGAGGGGAGGGAGTGGACGAGATGAATTAAACTAGGAAGTAAGAATGTGAGAGGCAGGGGGAGGGGGAAGGCCCTCCGGGCACTGATCTGCGGGTTCGCCCTAACCCAGGACCGAGCGGGCGCTCCCGGATTCGGAACTGGCGGAGTACGCGCGCTTCATCCGCAGAGCGCTGGGCCGGACGCGCGGCCGAGAGCTCGTGCCCTCGCTGGCAGAGATTTCCGCGCTGAGCCGACGGCAAGAGCTGTGGTGTACCGTGCACTGTCCGGGGGCTGGTGCCTGCCCCGTGGCCATAGACTCCCACACCACAGCGGCGGAGGTAGGGCCAGAGAAAGACCCCTGACATTGTACCCCTGTCCTTCCCATGCCCGGCTCCCCTGGTACGCAGACCCGAGGTTCACCCGGGCCTGAGAGTCGTCACTTGGGTGACGGGTGTGTGTGGCAGGACTAGGGGAGCTGAAAGACCCCTGCGGTTGGGTCAGCCCCTCCGGAAGTCCTGACTCGCCCCGCACCGTCGTTCCCCCTCCAGGTTGCTCGGGAGCTGGTGGGGCGGCTGGGCTTGGCTCGAAGCCGCAACGCTTTCGCGCTGTACGAGCAGCAAGGGGCCCAGGAGCGAGCCCTGGCTGGGGGGACTCTCGTGGCCGACGTGCTCACCAGGTTTGAGAAGTAAATGTCCATCCCCAGCCCTGCTGTCCAGTAGCCCATCTTCCTCAGCTTCGGTCAGCCCCTAAGCAAACATTTATGAGCGCTTGCCACTTGCCCCGAGCGGTGTCGTAGCTGGTTCCGAGACGGACTCCCGCCCACCAGTGGTTTGCTGTCCAGCTTCCAGGCCCATCCCGGGGGTCCCCAGAGCCCTGGCCCCGCCCCCAACACCTGGCCCCTTTCCGCCCCAGCCGGGGCGGGGGGATGGGGGCTGCCCCCGAGTCGCTTAGCACTGGGTTCTCGAATGCAGATTGGCGGCGGAGGAAGCTGGCCCGGAGGACTCGCCCGACCCCGGTTGGAGACTGTGCCTGCGCCTTCACGGACCCCTGCGCCCCGAGGGGCTGTCCCCAGACGGTCACGAGCTGCCTTTCCTCTTCGAGCAGGTGAGGATCTCTAGCATTCACGCCCCACACACCCAAAAGCCTCCCGAGCCAGAATTCCCTCGCCGGGCCATCGTATTTCGGCGCTGTGGCAACCCCGTGGGAGGCTTTACTCGAAACCGGACTTAAGACGCCTCGCCCCGAGGTGTTTTCACGGCCGCACAGCCGCCGCTGCCTCGCTGACTCCGGCGCCTCTCCCGCAGGCTCACGCTCTGCTGCTGCGCGGCCGTCCTCCCCCGCCCGACGACACGCTGCGCGCCCTGGCGGCGTTGCGCCTGCAGAGCCTGCACCGAGACTTCTCCCCGCGGGCGCCCCTGCCGCGCCTGGACCGCTTGCTGCCGCCTCCCGCCCCGCCGCGTGAAGACCCTCCCCGCCCGATCTCCAGGCCTCCCCCGTCCGCCGCCCTGCTGGCCAGGGCATTCTGGAGCGCGGGCCTGGCCAAGAGGCCAGCGGAGCGGGTCCAGCGCGGCGGGGCGGGCAGCGCGGCGGGCCTCACGGCCCGGGAGGGAGGTGGTGGCGCCGGTATGGCGGCTGCTGTGCTGGGCGGCTGGAAGCGGCTACGGGGCATGGGCCGAGCTGAGGCCATGGCTGCCTACCTGACTCTGGCGGCGCAGTGTCCAGGGTTCGGCGCTGCTCGGTATGAAGTACTGGAGCTGAGCACGGTGAGGGGGAAAAGGGCGAAGGGGACTCTGGTGGCCCAATCCCTACACCTTTGCCCCAGAGCCAGAGGCCCCCACTAAGGGAGTCAACTCGTTCCCTACATGCACCTCAGCAGCCCATCTCAGACCCCAGGGGTCACCGGCCCTTGGGTTCTCCCAGTTCCGGAGCCCTAGCGCCCCCTCCACACATGCGCTGTGGATCATGGGGGTAGGGGGGGCACTGGGAAACGACTGCTCTCAGCCCTCTCCTCCAGCCTAAAATGATGCTGCAGTGTCCCCCTTTTGCACCCTGACTCTGCCTGTTTGTCCCCAGGAGGCTGGTGGGGGTGCTCCACAGAAGCTATTCCTGGGCCTGGGGGCCAAGGCGATGTCCCTCTCCCGACCTGGGGAGACTGAGCCCATCCACAGTGTCAGCTACGGTCATGTGGCCGCCTGCCAGCTAATGGGCCCCCACACCCTGGCACTGAGGGTGGGAGAGAGCCAGCTCCTCCTGCAGAGTCCCCAGGTGAGTGGAAAGAGGAGTGTGGAAGGAGGGAGGGAAAAGGCTGTTAAGAAACGTTTATTAAGCACTGAGCATGGGCCAGGTGCAGCTCACTCTAGGCACTGGTGATGGGACAGTGATGATGGAAGAGCTCCAGGAGTTTAATGCTACGATGGGAAGTGCAGTGTGACAGGAGGTGGCCTCAGCATTAGGTGGGATGGTCGAGAAAGTACAGGCAAAGAAGGTGATATTTAAACTGCTCATGGGCAGCTCTGGGGGAACAGCATGCCAGGTAGAGGGAATTGCAAATGCCAGGGCCCTGAGATGAGAATAAACTTCGCTTATGGGGAAGCACAGATAAGGCAGTGTGACCGGCACATCGTGAGGGAGTGATGTTGAGAAAGGAACAGTTGTAGGGGCAGCTCAGGTCAGGCCTTGGTAGGGAGCCTGGGTAGGGGGTGAGATAGGAGAGCCCCGTGGCCCCTGGTGCATCCTGACCTCTGCCCTCCCTTAGGTGGAAGAGATCATGCAGCTGGTGAATGCTTACTTGGCTCACCCCTCCCCGGAGAGGCCCTGCGGCAGTGCTGCTCCTCCCTGCCAAGACCTGCCAGACACCTCCTCTCCCAGCCAGCGCCGGGGCCTGGACGAGCCCCAGGGACAGTCTGGCTGTTTGGGGCAGCTGCAGAAATGAGCCTGCCAAGAGGTCACGACCTCCCTCCCTTCTCCGTCGTCTCTGGCCTGGACTGCTCTGAGATTGGAGGGAACCATGGACCCTTTTAGCCCTGCAGGGACAGGGCACACCCCATACCCAAGGGCTGCAATGGGTGCAGACAATTTTCTAGTTTGTTTCTTAATTTATTTGTAGAAGGAAAGCAAAAAAAAAATTCTTATTTACACAAACCCTTCCTGTGGGAGCGTTGTCAGTGGGACAAGTTGGAGCCCCATAGGTCAGAGCTCCACCCCTGGGACGCCCACACTCCGAGTTTTCAGCAGGGCTGAAGGGAGTCTGGACACCACAGGGCTCCACCCTTCTTGACTGTCTGGATTTAACCTCCTCCTGGCCATTGTGCTGCCACTGGCTGGTGGGTGGGGTAGAAAAGAGGGCAGCTGTGGAGGCTGCAATCACTTACCCTCTCTTCCCCACTGAGTGGAAGAGAGGTGGCCTGCTGGTGTCCCTGAGGCCGGAGGCCAGTGAGTCATCAGGACCACCACTACCCAGTTGCTACGCTGGTGTGTCTAGCTTGTAGGGCCCATCTTTGGTGTGCCTGCCTACTGCCTTGGGCCTGGATTGGAGAGAAGCCTGGGACAGGATTAGACCCAGAAACTTCTCTGGCATGGATAAAGGGCTTGTCAGGATCGGCTCAGCCCTGCTCCTGGGTTCTGTTTCTGCTTTATCAGGTTGGATTGGATTGGGTTGAATTTCTGAAGATCTATACCCTTAGGCACTGGGATTCCAGAGCCCCAGCTTTCCTGCCCTGCTCAGGATGCTGGTCCTTCAGTAGTCAGACCTCATCGGTGAGTAGAGCAGCCTGGGGCCATATTGATCTACCCTGGGGTAGGGACTTAGGCATGGACGATAGCAGACCTCAGTAATCAGTCCTCTGTAGCCCTGACAGTAGAGCTACCTCCAGGAAAACAGCCTCATTGTAGGCACAGGGATGTCAACAGAAACAGTGGACACACTAAGACCAGGACTAAGTGGCCATTCTACCACCCCATGCCTGGGCGCCGGGAAGGAACTTGAAGGGCCCTTTATCATCCCCATAGTCACAGACCAAGCCCTGATTATATTCACAACCAAGCTTTATTATCTTATTGGAGGTAAACAGGCACATCGAGGGTTAGGGCATGGAAGGGAGGGAGCACGGGTAGCTCCTGAGCTGCAGATGCACCTGAAAGAGTTGCTGGTGAGGGGAGTTTGGGTCAGAGGAACCGACCAGCATGATAGGAACAATGCTCATGGTCCAGGGGGAGTCGTGGGAGGACGTCACTGCTCCTGGGTGCCCCAGGAGATGTAGTCTGGCCGCGTGGCCGCGTGGTACTCGTCAATGAGCTCCTGCACAACCTCCCTGGACCTGTCCAGTTCATCAAAGTTCTCCTTGAAGATGTCCTCCTTGCGGAATTGCTCCAGGAAGGCCTCCCGCTTCCGCAGCTTGTCGTACTGCTGGCAAGAACTTTCAAAGAGCTGAAAGAGAAATGTCCGTGGTGGGAGCCAGTGCAGGATAGGGGGCGTTGGAACAGACCTGGGGAGAATGACGAAGGGGCAAGTGGAACAGAGTGGCCAGAGAAGACCAGGAGACTAGTCTCACCGAGGAGATGCTGGTGTGGTTGGCCATCATGAGCCCGCTGACCCGGTGGGCAGAGGGCAGGTAGGGAGACTTCCTGGACAGGGCCACCTGGATGCTGGCCGGGCCCCAGGGGATGAAGTTGGCCAACTTCCGTTCCCGGATCCTCTGCAGGCTCTTGTGGACCTGGAAGTGGGGGCAGCGCACAGGGGTGGTGGTGGTCGCCTCTCCTCTACCCCTGCAGGTCCCAGGGGTGGAATGAAGGGGCCTCACCTACCTGAGTGGGGTCCACCTCGCCCTGGATGATGTTGAGGATGGCGATGTAGCAGTGGTTGGTCTGGCGATCCCGGCCGGTGGACACCATCACGTTCTTGGGCTGCAGCAGCCGCCTCATGACATCCAGGACCGTGGTCTTCCTCACACTGGCCACCTGAGGGGAGAGTGGGCCACGGGGACCAGGCCAGCACTCAGGGCACAGCCCACACATGCATGGACAGAGACAACAGGCCACAGGTGGCCCCCACCAGACTGGGGGCAGTACGGTCTCTTTGGGCCGTGTCTTCAGATTCAGGTCTACACTGAGCCTCTGCTGTGGGGTTGGGACTCTGAGCTGGGCTCAGCTCAGCAACCTCATGCCCCTGTGTGGGAGCATCAGTGGGTCCCCTAGTACAGCCCAGGCCCTGCAGGGGAGCCAAAGGCAGGGGGAGAGGACAGCCAGTCAGCAAGGAAGTGGTCCAGTCAGTGCTGGTCCCTGAGCACAGAGCCTGCTGGGCCAGCAGGGAGAAGAGAAAGGCCAGGTGGGGCCTCCTGGGCCAGGGGCAGTTGGGCCTGGGACACTGAGGCCCCTCTTACCGACTGGTCTGTGGTGAGGGGGGTGTAACCAGTCATGAGGAAGTGGAGCCGTGGTGTGGGAATGAGGGAGGCGATGAGGCCGATGAGGTCATTGTTCATGTAGCCCGGGTAGCGCAGGGTGGTGGTGCTGGCAGACATGATGGTGGACACCTGGGGACAGGGACAGCATGCTGTGGGTGGGCCTGGTCAGGGGGTGTTCCCTTCCGCAGGCAGCAGCCCAGGAGTGGGGGCCCACCAGCTGGTTGATCTGGGAGAAGGACGGGTTCTGGATGTGCAGGCGGTCCGTGGCGATCCGGTTCAGGGCTGTGTTGTCCAGCACCACCTGGGGGGACAGAAGAGGGTCACGGCACCTTTTTGAGGAGAAAGGGGGCAGAGAAAGAAGTCATTAGCTTAGCCCCCTTCTAAACTCCAAAACCAGGAATTCAGTGTGTTAATTTAAAAGAGAAGGACTGTGTCTGGGGCATCGTGAGACAGGTTTCTACCATCCAGCGCAGTAAATAAATGTTTGACTATCCCCATGAGCCAGGCATGGTGTGTGGCTGCTCTGGAGATAACAAGGAAAGTAACCAGGCTGGTCTTCCCCCTCACCAGGTCACCAGACTAGCGGCGGGAGCTTGACATTAAATGTAAAACAACAGAAAAGGATAGTTACAGCCTGAAATACGCACAAAGGCATTTGACTTTGACTTGAGTGGTCAGCAAGGTTTCTGCTAAGAAAGTGACCCTGGGGCTGAAAATTTAAGCATGAGCAGGCATGAAGAGGCTAAATGGAGACACACAGGGGACTGTGGGCAACTTGGCATCAGGTACTTATTTCATAATTTGGGGCACCAGGAATGGCTTTGTGGGTCCTCTTGTTTTCTCGGCTGGGGCTCAGGAAGGGCAGGTGTATGTGTCCGTCTGGTTTGGAGAGGGGGACTCAAGTCCCCCACTTCCTCCTCTGTGCTCACCACACAGTCTGCGTTCTGGGTCAGCCGCTTGAGCGTGAGCAGGGAGTTGTAGGGCTGGACCACCACGTCGCTCATCTCGTCCTGGTTGGGAAACACTGAGTACGTCTGCACCAGCTTCTTGGGGTACCTGGCAGTGAGGAAGAGGGAGGAGGGAAGGTCGCACAGTGAACTGAAGGACTCTCATCACTGTTCATCTCTGTCTTCTCCAGGGATAACAGGGGCCATTCCTTTCCAAGGGCCACCAAACTCATATCACAAAAGGGTTTGTATAAGAGGGCAGAAGTGAGTCTTCCCAGCACAGGAGCCAAAAAGCAGAAGCCAAAAGCATCAAACCCTGTAGGTCCCCTCCTCTCCCTAGGTAAACCCCCAGGAATGACTGCTTCCAAGATGCTGCCTAGGTCGCCAGGCCCTGTTCCTTCCTATGGCTCAAAGGGCTAGTAGCAGGCCTTCCAGTCCAAGAGAAAAAAGTGACAAAAAAAAAAAAAAAAAAAAAAAAAGACAGACAGACAAGACATTACCCAGGAAGCTAGGGCTAACACCCTCTCCCCAAACACAGGCTTACCTGTCATTCAGTCGCTCGAGGAGGTAGGAGCCCAGGCCAGAACCCGTACCCCCGGCGATGGAGTGACACAGCACGAAGCCCTGCACCGGGAGGGATGGAGAGACAGTCCCCAGGGACCTGGGGAGAGGCTCCAGGCTCGTCTCGTTCCCCACTCCCAACACACACGTCTCAGGCCTTCCTCTGTGTCCACCCAGGCTGAGGCTCCCCGGGAAGAGTGACTCATATCTGAGAAGCGGATGCCATCCAGGCTAGGGTCTCCTTGAAGACAAGGACTGGACCTTATTCGCCTCGATATCTCACATCTGAGGCTCAATAAATAAGGCCTGACTTGAAGTGCCCTCCTCGTCCGTCCCCCCCGCCCCGTTCAAGGCTACCTGCTGACCTTTCCCCAGCACTTGGCAGCTTCCTTGTTTTTTCCTTCCCTTCAGTGGGGCGGAACCTCACCTCTAGGCTGTCACTGCCATCTGCTTCTCGGTCTATGATGTCAAAAATATCTTCGTGGATTTTCTCACCCTGCACAGAGTCACCGGGAGGGAGGATCAGGACGAAGGTTCTGGAGAGCATGTCCTTTCAGCACCAGTAACTCTACCCGGGGACACTGCTGCCATCCTCAAGGAGAGCCACGGCTGCGGCCCTCAACCCAGAAAAGCTGCTTTGCACATGATTTGCACAGTTTGCATAAACCTCTCCCTGGCTGTCCCTCTTGTTAGGGTATCTATCCCTTTGTCTGCTATTATTGTTAATCAGGTCTAGTTAGATTCCCAGGCTGCTTGAGCCTGCCTTACCTAGGGGAGAGGACATCAAGGGTCTCTGAGATGGCCACCTGAATACCTGGGAGAATCCACTGGCCCAGTTGTTGCCAGCTCCTCCTCCGTGCTCTGACAGGTAGATGTTCTCTGGGTTGTAGAGCTTGGCATAGGGCGAGTTGAGGATGGAGTGGATCACCCGGGGCTCCAGGTCCAACAGCACAGCCCTGGGGATGTAGTGCTCATCGTCGGCCTGTCAGCGGGAGTCCAGGAGGGCGCCCACTCAGCTATGGCTGAGTCTGCCATCCTCCTGACTCTGGCTGCTGCTTGCCCTCCCTCCTCCAGCCAGCCGCCCGGGTCCCTCTGCCCAGTCAGGGTTCCCAGTACCGGGAGTTTGCCCTTCCCTTCAGGCCTCCTGGCCAAGTCGCTGGGAGCACCTGGTAGAAAAAGACGTCCTTGCGGTCAGTGCCCTCGGTGGCGAATTCCTCCACGATGCCCTCGGGGCTGATACCATGCTCGGCGCACAGCTGTTTCCAGAACTCGAACCCAACTAGGGGATGGGGAGAGATGCCTGGTTCTGCTAGAGTCATAAGGCCCCAGAAGCCCAGGGTTAGATTCACAGGCTGTCACACTCAGAGGCTGGATCCAAGACGCCTGGTCTGGGAGCCGTGACAGCCTTGGGCTGGAGGCGCAGCTCTGGGTTTGGGGCTGGTTCATCATGCGCAGTAAGGCAGGGGTCATGGGAGGAAAAGGGGAACTGGAGGATGCCAAGCGCTTGGGTGGGACCCGAAAGAGCAGAACCGGAGGAGACTGGAGGGCCCCCGGCGCACGCTCGCTCACTCTGGTTGCCGCACTGGCCCAGCTGCAAGGTGATGATCTCCCGGGGCATCGCTCTTCAGAAGCGGGCGTTCCAGCCCGGCCCGGCGGGAGTCAGGGACACAGACGAAAGCCTAGCAGCCGGACGCGCAGGACGTGGAAAGCGCGCTCTCTCTTCGTCTTTTGACGTGGGCGCTCGGTCTGCGCGTGTGCAGTGCGGGTCTCCCCGCGGCCGGCGGGCCAGGATGCCCAGGTTGGGCATCATTTTCACCAAAACACTTGCAGCTGGAATTCAGCACAGGCGCAGAGTGAGGCCACGCCCTCTCCGTAAACCACCTAGCTCCGCGCCTGCGCGACGAGACTGGCTGGGGCGGCAGGGTTGCGACCCCAGTGTTGGGGAGGTGAGGGGAGGGGCGGGGACAGCGGCTCAGTGGTGTGGAGTCCGCCGCGCGGTGTAGGCAGGTGAGTGACTGCTCGATGGAGGGGCTGCAGTCAAAACAGTTTTTTTCTTTTTAATTTTTAAATTAAGTATCTCTAACAGAAAATTGACTATTTGAATCACTTTGAAATGTATCATTCTATGGCAGAAAGTACATTCACGTTGTTCTGAAGGCCTCAGGACCATTCATGCCCAGAACTTTGTTGTCTTTCCAAACTGAAACTCTGTTCCCACAAACAGTAACTCCCCATCGCCATTCTACTCTGTCTCTGTGATTTTGAGTGTCCCAGGTACTCGCACAGGTGGGATCACACAGTCTTTGCCCTCTTGTGTCTGGCCTAATTCTCTTACCATAATGTCTTCAGGCCTACTCCATGTTGTAGCTAGTGTCAAATTTTCACTCTTTTTTAAGGATGTATAACATTCCATCGTGTGTGTATTTTATATATATATATATACATATATATTTATATATATGTATATATAAAATATTTTTATATATTTATATTTATATATATTTTATATATTTATATTTATATATTTATATAAAATATATTTATATATTTATATATATTTATATGTTATTTATATATATTTGTATATATATTTATATTTTATATATATATAAAAATGGAGGCCTGCAGAACAATGTGAACAAATATATATATATTTTTTCTCACATTTTGTGTTTATGCATTCATCTGTCAACAAACCCTGGGGATGCTTCCACGTATTAGCTATTGGGAATAATTCTGCTTTGAACATGGGTGTACAAATATCTGAGTCTCTGCTTTCAGTTCTTCTGGGTCTACACTCAGAATTAAAATTGCTGAGTCATGAGGCAATTTCATGTTTAATTTTTTGAGGAATTGCTGTACCCTTCTCCACACTGCTGCACCATTTTACGTTGCCACCAGCAATGCATTAGGGCCCCAGTTTCTCCACATCCTTGCCAACGGCTTCTCTCTCTTTCTTTTTTTCTTTCTTTCTTAATAATAGCCATCCTAATGAGTGTAAAGTAGTATCTCATTTTGGTTTCTATTTTAACTTAAATTAGAGTTTGAAACATACAAGCATGACTTTGTTCTTTTACTATATATATATTTTTTAAGATTTTTTTATTTGTTTATTTTAGAGGGGAAGGGAAGGAGAGAGGGAGAGAAACATCAGTGTATGGTTGCCTTCGTGCGTCCCCTGCTGGGAACTGGCCTGCAGGGAACCGGCCTGCAACCCAGGCATGTGCCCTGACTGGGAACCGAACCGCGATTGTCTGGTTCACAGGCCCGAGCTCAATCCACTGAGATACACCAGCCAGGGCTCTTTTACTATATATTTTTGTTTTGAAATTATATATTAATGGTATGAGACTGTAATATTCTTTTGTAACCTGCATTTTCCACCCAGCAGTAGATTTTTGTAACTTAGCAATGTTGATATCTGTAGACTTGTTTCATTCTTTTTAACTGCTTTATAGTATTTCGTCAGATAGATAAAACCAATTCATTCTGTTTCCACACAGGGGCGATTTTATTTCCACTTATTCCCTGCTACCTCGAAGGAGTATAGGATTTGTTTGCTTGTGAACAGGAAGGAAGATATTTCTTCCTGGTTTTCATTTTCCTCCACCCGCATCCACCCTCTGGTTGTTGGATCTGAATTTTTGTCAATACCACGGCTGCTCAATGAGGTCTTTTGGCTGCAATTTGAAGTTACAGTCACAAGTGAAGTCGATTCTATTTTCTTTAGAACAGAATATTCTAGTGAATATTTTTGTTAGTGACCTTCAGAATTGCCTGTTCACGTCCTTTGCCCATTTTTCTATTTACGCAGACAAAGCGATCCATCTTTTCCTTCTGGTTTGCCCCTGTTAAAGAAGCCTTCCCCTCTCCCCGCATCATAAAGCTGGGTTTTCTGTGCCTTCTCCAAAAGCCCCATCTTGGTTTCCCTCGGTCCCTGTAGGTCTTTAGTTCATTTGAACTTATTTGGAGGCCTTCTGGAAGACAGGGATCTCCTTTGTCTTCTGCATATGGACAGCCAATTGTCACCTAACCGATTATTGAAGCGTCGGTCTCCTCCGCCTCCGCAACACTCCAAGCCCGCGCCCAGATCGCGGGCCGCCTCTGGCCTCTCTTCTGCTCGGCTGGGCGGTGCGTCCCAGTCTGGCTGGCTTTCTCCTGGGGCTGCTGCAGAGGCGCTAAACCACCGCCGCCAAGACTCACGCTCAGACAATGTTTTTTTGCTTTCTTTTCTCTCTTTTTAAGAGAACTCGGCCGCCTTCTAGCGCCGACCGCTAGGAATCCCCTGGGCTTCTTTAGAAGAGTCTGGCTTGCCCCACGCCCACCCCCTCCCCGGCCTCAGCTCAGTTTCCCTCCCTTCGCCCTACACAGGCTGCCCGCTTGTTTCCTCCAGCCAGGCTGAGAGACGATCCCGAGCAGCCGCCTGCAGGACGGGCTGCTTCGCCCTTTCAGGGAGGGTTTGGCTGCACCCTTTGAAGTTTGAAGGTGGGGTGCACGCTCCACCGTTAGCCTCGCGCCTCCCCTCTCGGCCAGAGTCGCTCCTCCAGGGCCAGCTGCCCTCAGAGGCTGTGCCAGGCCCCTCTCTGAGTGTGCCCGGGTGAAGAGGAAGGCTTCAGAGATGAGAGTCAACCTGCCAGGCCTCCCTCCTGGTGAGTGTGGGTCAGCTGTTTGCTTCCTGGAAGATAAGCTGGAAGCAGTTTGTGACCACTTGTGAAACACAAGAGTTTAATTTCAACCTTTTCTTAGGATGAATAACAGTGCATTGCTTTTCCTCCTGTTTTCGCAGATGTGGGGAACGTCCTTCAAACCCCGTTTTATAGGCGAACAGGTCAGAACGTGTGAATTTCTCTGAGTTGGAGAAGTCGCAGAGTCAGTTTCCTCTAAGAAGCCACCTCTGACCAGCGAAAGGCTCCTCCTAGTCTGTAGACGCGGACTGGAAACGGGTGCTTGTGTACATCAGGAGAGCGGAATGTGAATGCTCCTGGGTGGTAGCAGGTGTGCTTGTGCTTTCCATTTCTGCTGAGAAATGACCAGTTCGTGTCTGTTAAGGGCAGGGGACCAGCACTCAGCACTGTGCCAGAGTCATGGACAGCACTCCGTACACATGAACTGTAGCCACGGTTATCACCAGATGCAGTAGGAACTGAAAGGTAGTTTGGCTGCTGTTACAGATGAAGGCTCTTGTGCAGGGTTAAAAGCAAAATGAGTGGTTGCTTTAAATAGATTTTTAAATATTAAAACCTACTTATTTGTCATGGTCCTATAGATTTGGTTTTCTATCTGACTTTATGGAGGTTGAGCAAAAGGCCCAGGTTCATGATCTTTCTAATGGGTTTCAGATCCAGAGTCTCAAGGTCATTACCCATGATTACTGGGCATTGAGTTTAATTTGCTTGGCTCCATATTCTATGATAATGTACTGGGACGAGGCATTCTTTTGTCCGGGGCCTTGGTCTGGGTCTAATATAAGTGTAGCATTTGTAAACTAACAAGCTGGGTGAATGTCTTAAGCCTTTATTTGACATTCCAGGTGGAAAAGACATTATTTGGGCTGCACCTTCATTTCTGTCTTTTCCTGGACACCTGACCTGCCATTTTTCAGGAGCTCAGGTATGTTGGGGAGGGAATGAGGCAGAGGTGTGAGGTGGGGAAAGGAAGGTGTGTCTCAGGGACTGGGAGGAAGAAAGCTAGAGCAGCTTTAGATCTTGAGACTGGGATCCTATGGCTCCAGGGAGTTTAACTTTCAAAAGGAAGCGCAGGGAAGATTTAATGAAGGTGAAGGTGAAGAGCTGAAGCTCTTACTTTAACTCTTAAGTTACCTTTACTTGAAGGTAGGTGTATGCTAAGTTCGCACTTTGGTTATGAAATAGAACACAATGGGGTATTTTGTTCTGTGTTCTTTTCTTTAAAAAAAATTATTTGTTTATTTTTAGAAAGAGGAGAGAGAGAAAGGGAAAGAAACATCACTGTGTAGTTACCTCTTGCACGCCCCTAACTGGGCATCTGGCCTGCAACCCGGGCGTGCGTCCTGACTGGAAATTGAACCTGCGACCTTTAGGTTCAATTGGCACTCAATCCACTGAGCCACACCAGCCAGGGCTGTGTTGTTTTCTCAAGGAAAAGGAAATAAGCCTAAGAGTAATTCTGTTTGTGGTCATTTGCTCATTCATTCATTTGTTCTGCACCTTTTTACTATGCAGAGTACAATAATAGGCGCTGTGGAAGTAGAGGTAACGGACCCAAGTGCCCATGGCCTTGTGGAGAAGACACACAGCAAGGTTAGCACACAGTGCAGAGTGGAGAGCCTAACTTGACGGAGCAGGGAGAGGCCAGAGAATTGGGAAGACTTTTTGGAGAAGGTGGTTGCCTGGCCTAGACTTGAGTGTCCCAGTACGAAATGACCAGGTGGGAAAAATGGACAAGTGTACAAAGCAATATGAAGGAAAACCAACACCCAGAAAAAGATGTATAAATGCCACCCAAGTGGCATTTAAAGCCATGGCCATGAATAAGGTCATCGAGGGAGAATGAATGCTGTGGGGTGGCCCTGTATTGGAAGAGGATTGGAATAGAACCTAACAGAATACAATGCTTAAGAGGTAGAAAGGAAGACTGTATTGCAAAGAAAAATATAGGCGTGAGCAGGGGAAAAAAACCAGAAGAAACACTAATGCATACCAGTGAGGGTCATTGCTGACCCTCTTCTTTTCTGGCAGAGCCCGGGTTTTGTTCTGCATCCCACCCTTCTTCCAGCAGAAAACCCTAGTTCATCCAAGCTGATTACGGTTATCACAGTTTCCTAGCCAGGAGCTCATTTAAGAGGGGACATACGATGCAATTCAGGTCAATGAAATGCGAGGAAAGTTTCCTGGGGGCTTCTGGAGAAGGTCTCCTCACTGGTTAAAATAGACACACAGGAAGAGACACCCTCTTCTTGTTGCATGTTGTCACTTGTGGATATGGCACCTCGAACTGCTACCACCACTGTCCTTTAACTGCAGAGAGCGTCTTGGGGAGGAAGCCTCCTGCTATGGGTGGTAGAGCAGAAAGACAGGGGACACCTGGGTCCCTGATGACATTGCTGAGACATCAGATGAACCAGCCCTGGAGCTTCCCCATGTCTAGACCTCTTCAGCTGTGGGATATATTTTTTCTCTTATGGTTTAAGCCAGTGGTTTTCAACTGGTGGGCCACAGTACACAGTGCGCCACAAGACTTTATAAAACATGTAATACCCGAGGTTTTAGTCAGGGGCACTGACCTATTTTCCTTTCGATTGTCAAATAAAAACATGACAAAGCTTTGCACAGTGGCAGCATCAAGGCCAACGAGGTTTATCTGAGGAGCGACAATTGCTAATTGAAAGGAAAAAAAAATGACAACAGAAAACACCAGGGCGGCGGGGGCGTGGGCTGGGTGGGTCCCGATGGGTTTCCGAGGGGCCCTTCCAGGATCTCTCTTAATAAATAAAAAAAAAAAAAACACCACAATAGCCATTCAGTATGAATGAATCAAATTTATACCTGTTTTTTTGTCAGATTGGCAATAATATAGTATACTTTTTGGTGTGCTGCAGAATTTTAGTAATGAGTTAGATGTGCCGTGAGGTGAAAAGGGTTGAAAATCGCTGGTTTAAGCTGTTCTGTTTGGACTTGCAGCTGAGAGCGCGGCCATAGAGAAGCAGACTGCAGAAGCCCAGGAAGGAGAAAGCGGCAAACAGCCAGTGGGGCGGCATCTGAGGCTGCGGGGAGATGGTGGATAAGGAGACGCCAGAGGAACCTTTGGGTCCGGGGGAGCGTGGTGACTTTGGTGAGGACGGTGATCCTGGGCCATGGGAGGAAAACCCAGATTCCAAAAGGTTACTTACCCTTACACATAGTTGGCGCTAACGAAATCATATTTTGTCATTTGAGAAATTATAAAATTGAAACATGAGTGGAAAATAACAAGGTGAGCAGGGACTATATAGACTTTAAAACAAGGATTTTAGCCCTGGCTGGTGTAGCTCAGTGGATTGAGCGTGGGCCTGCGAACCAGATGATCGAGGTTCAATTCCCAGTCAGGGCACATGCCTGGGTTGCAGGCCAGTTCCCTGCAGGTCAGTTCCCAGCAGGGGAGGCACAAAAGGCAACCATACACTGATGTTTCTCTCCCTCTTTCCTTCCCTTCCCCTCTAAAGATAAATAAATAAACTCTTTAAAAAGAAAAAGAAGATACATATTTTAAAAAAAACAAGGATTTTAATCTGGGGCCCACGGATCGCCTCCAGTGTATCTATGGCTACAGTTTGGGGATCTGTGAATTCTAATTTTTTGGTCACCTCTAACAGAAATTTAGCCTTTCCTTCAATTAGGTCTAGAGGCATCACACCTCGGTAGCATTAGCAGTACCTGCGACTATGCCACCTATAAAAGTCACACCTGCTTTAATATCACATCACAGTTTGATGAATATGTTACAAAATATTGTTTATAGTCACCACTACTTGAAAACAAAGGGTATCTTTGCCTTGGCCCGGTAGCTCAGTTGGTTAGAGCATCATCCTGATACCCTAAGGTTACAGGTTCGATCCCTGGTCAGGGCACATACAGGACTCAACCAGTGAACGCCTAAATGAGTAGAACAGAGAACTGTTGTTTCTCTCTCGCTCCTCAATCTCTCTCTCTCCCCCTCCCTCCCTCCATCTAAGATCAATAAATAAGAATTAAATAAATAAAAGTCAACAAATAGAACTTCAGAAAAAAGAATATATGAGCTATCCACTTCAAGATTTTTTAAATTGTAGTGCATTAATAAAGGACACACAAAAATAAAAGAAGCATGTGCATTACTATGTCACAACTTTAAAAAAATCGATTGTAGCAACTGTATGTCAATATCATTGATTTCCATGGTAATTCTATGTGTATGGTTGTATGCGTTCACAGACATTACCTGCCAGACTGCCAAAGACATTCCTGATGTGAAAAAAAGGTTAAGAACTCCAGCTCTGGGGCAGGGAGAGCAGGGGAGGCGTGTCCACCGGAAATGGGCCTGTCGCGTGTGAGGAACTCACTCTTTAGCACACAGGGCAGGCGTCCCTGTTGAAATGCTGAAGGGATGGAGAGGGGATTGTGAGAGCCAAGGTCCCTGAGGATGCTGGAGCTATTCGGATGCAGGGCTCAGGTGGAGAGATTAATACAGGAAGGAAACTTTTCCCACAATAAAAGAGAGGAAAGGATGAGTGTAGATAAAAATAAGTGTTTTAGTGGGGTGGGAGTGCCGGCAGGAAGTTGAGGGGGTTCTGCCTGATGGCTTCTATTTTCACCGTGAAGTAGGAGTGAAGTTGTCTGCTGCGGGTGAGAATGAGGGGAGGCAGGCGATAAAGGCAGGGAACAAAAGAGAGGGTTGACACAGACAAGTAGAAGGACTACCAGTCCAGTGGGGCAGGGAGGTGGGGCAGTTAGAGACCACCAGTTGTCATGGCAACAGTGGGGGGTATATGGGTAGGAGTTGGGGCAGAAAGTCAGCTAGAGGCAGGGCTGGAATTTTACCAGGAGGTTAGGGTGAGGAGCGGAATGAAGGAAGGCTGGATCAAAGTGTCCAGGCTGCGTGGAGAAGGATGTGAAGCCGGGAAGGGCTGATAGCTTGGGAGAGTGAAGCCAACTGTGGGAAGAATGAGACAACGGGAATGAGAAAGTGGTGGTACGGGAGTGAAGCAGTCAAGTTCAAGGGTGAGGAGTAGTTGGTGGGATGGCAGGTGCTGAGGGCTGTCCACACAGTGTGGGTGGGTGACAAACAGGAAGGTAGGAAAGGGCATTGGAGGTGAGGAGGTCAAGGAACAGCCAGTCCGGCCAGGACCATCCTTGTGGATGTCAGCATTTCTAGGATGAAGGTAAAGCTTAGAGTGGAGAGAAGGCCTGAAGAATGTGGAAGGGTGGAAGCAGGCAGATTTTTGGAACAAGTGGTGGAGTGTGGTGGTGTTGGGTAACATATGCCTCGAAGGAGGAAGGTTATTGCAATGAGGTCAAATAGTAGTGGTTTAAAAGTAGCAATAAGGAGATAAAAGAATGCCTACCCCTCCATGCTCCTTGCTGTGTAGCCAGGACTTCAAAAAACAGACAAAAAAAAAAAAAAAACAACCTACCCTTCGGTAAAGAGGCCGGAGAGAATAAGACAGTTGTGGACCAGATACAAGCTAGTACAGCGGTTTCCAACCTCAGAAGACAGTTTCCCTCCATGTCCCACCCCAACCAAGGGGCTTCTATACACCAGCAAAGGCCTGTTTGGTTTTATCACAGTGGTAGGGGAGGAGGTACTGGCATTTGGTGCCTAAAGAACAGAGATGCTCAGCATCTTGCAGGGTCCCTTAGTGATGAATTGTCCTGTCCCCAAATGCCAGTAGCACATCTCATGCACTTTGTAGATGAGGAGATGAGGGTTCAGAGAGCCGATATGTGTAATGTTTTGGAACTTCTGTAGTCTTTAAAAAAAAAAAAAGATTTCATTTCTCTTTAGAGAGAGGGGAAAGGGGGAGAAAGAGATAGAGAGAAACATCAATGTGAGAGAGAAACAGCCATTGGTTGCCTCTGGCAGGCCCAACCAGGGACTCAGCTTGTAAACCCAGGCATGTGCCCTGACTGGGAACCAAACTATTGGCAGAGCGGCCACAGCCTGCTAGAGCTGGACGGGACATGGAGATCATTAGTAATCAGGCCTTCCCAACCTTTCCCCTCGCTGTTCTCAGAGATGTGCAGCACCCCGAGGAAAAGGAAGGGAAGAGGCAGTTTGCTGGGGGCGGGGAGGTATCTGCCTGGGTGCCCTAGGGACAGAGCAGCACCCATTTTAAGCGCCCTAGTCTTTTTCAGCTTTTCATTTTACGAATGAGGGAATGGAGGCTTGTTTCTTTTTCCTTTTTGAAAACGTTTTTATTGTATTTTTTTCATTACTATTTCGTTTTCTATACGCCCCTCACCACAAGGCTTGTTTCTTTTTCAGAAAAAGTATTTGCATTATGTATGCATAATAGTATTAGTCTTCATGGTCTGTATTTTTCTTTCTTTTGAAAGTTGTGCCTCACCTTCCTTTTTACAGTAAATATGATTTCTTTTTTTTTTTAAGATTTTATTTATTTATTTATTTATCTTTAGAGGGGAAGGGGAGAGGGAGAGAAACATCAATGTATGGCTGCCTTTGATGCATCTCCTGCTGGGAACTGGCCTGCAACCCAGGCATGGGCCCTGACTAGGAATCGAACCTCGATCCTTTGATTCGCAGGCCCGAGCTCTATCCACTGAGCTACACCAGCCAGGGCAAGATTTCTGTTAGACTCACGATGTATTTGTGTTGGTGCCTTCGTCACAGCTCCTTTCCACGGTCCTGTTGTCCCGGCTGTTCGTGCTTCTGTGTCTTCACAGGTGGTTTTCCTGATGCGATTCAAAAACATTTCCAATGTGACAAGAGATTGTGTTTTCTGCTACCGTGTTACTATATTGTTATATTTAATAAGTAGAGCTCTTTAAGCATCTGGGGTTAAATTATTATTGCTTTATGTCTTTTTAAATAAGTTTACTTTTTACTGTATTTTTTTCATTACCATTTCCCCCTTATACTCTCTTCCACCTTCACTCTCCCCTCCCCCTACTGTAATTTTATATTTATATATGTGTGTATGTGTGTGTGTGTGTGTATATATATATATATATATATATATATATATATATATAAATTTTGGTCTATTTTGACTATTGATGTCAGTACCTCTCTCCAACTATGTCCGGTTAGTGGATTTGGCTAATTAAAACTACTTAAAAGCCCTGGCCAGTGTGGCTAGGTTGGTTGGAGTGTCATTCCATACACTGAACGGTCACTGTTCGATTCCCGGTCAGGGCTCATGCCTAGGCTGCAGGTTCAATCCCCATTCTGGGTGTGTGCGGAAGGCAACTAATCAATTTCTCTCTCTCTCTCTCTCTCTCTCTCTCTCTCTCTTTCTTGAATGACAATAAAATAAACCTTAAAAAAACTATTTAGGAGATGACTAGAAAAGAACTTTTGACCTGGTTTTATTTTCCCGCTCTCCATCACTTGGTGAAATGCACACCAAGCTCCGAGAACAGTTCTTTAGCTGTCTCGCCAGAAACAGGAAGGTCTGCCCCTGACCGATGTGGCTCGGCGGGCTGGGTGTGGTCCGCAGAGTGAGAGGTCCCGGGTTTGGCAGTCGGGGTCGCGCCCTGGTTTTAGGTTCGGTCCCAGGGTGCTGCGTGTGTGAGAGGCAGCCAGTCGCCATTTCTCTCTCACGTCTCCCAGTCACATCTCAGACGGATGTTTCTCTCCTCTTTCTACATCCCTTCCCCTCTAAAAATGAACGAAACCTTGAAAAAAATCAGAAGACCCAGCCCTATATTCACCTTTTAACATTTTTTTAAATTTTATTTATTTATCTTTAGAGGGGAAGAAAAGGAGAGAGGGAGAGAAATATCAGTGTATGGTTGCCTCTTGTGCATCCCTTGCTGGGAACTGGCCTGCAACCCAGGCATGTGCCCGGACTGGGAATCAAACCGTGATCTTCTGGTTTGCAGGCCTGCACTCAATCCACTGAGCTACACCAGCCAGGGCTCACCTTTTAGCATTTTTTATTAGTGATTTTTTTAGTTTGTTTTGGAGCTCTTGCTTTCTTAGTCCTAGCCTGCCTGCCCCTCTGGCTCCTTATCTCTTCAGACTATGACTTTGGCTGTTGACCCTGGGCCTCTGCAAGTCTGTGACGGTTCTGAGATTTCCCCAGTGAAAATTGAGAGTGATAGAAGCGAGTCAGCAAGTGTGCTTTCTGGATGGACCAAGACCAAACAGGTTGAAACAGTGCTCCTTCTGTTGAATCAGCCAGTGATCACATAAGCCAGGAACCCGGGAAACAAGCAGTGCCCAGCGCCCTGGGCTGCGGCGCAGGAGTGCCGCTTGGCTTCGGGTGCTCTTTGTTAATCACGCTCCGGAGCAGGCATTCTCAAACCGGTCCGCGTGTGGGGATCAAAGCCAGCTTAGCCTTATCTTCCCTAATCTGAGTTGACAGCTGTGTGACACGGTCCCTCCCCCTTGGCATGTCTTAGAAGTGTTTGAGAGTGCAAAAAAATATATATTTTGTACTCTGGAGCCCTTGCTTTGTCAGTGTAGATTTGGGTTTTGAAAGGAAAAAGTAAAGTTGTCTTTATTACAGGAAACCTGAGACATGACTGTACAAAGAAAACCCTAAGGGAGTATAAAAA